TGCTCCTTTTGCTCCGGGGCAAGTTAAAAATCATACCATATATATATATATATATATATATGTCACACAAGTGCTTCCTTTTGTCTCTAGGACAAGTCAAAAATCATACCAGGCCACCCGTGTACCATAAGCAATGGTACAGCTCCTGTCTGTTTGCTGCGTAGATGCACGAAGTGTATATCCAGCCTGCGAACGAATAGGGTTCAATTTTAGTTCCATTTGAAAAAAACTATGTATGGTTTATTTGTCGACTAACGACATCCATACCTCATTGGATTCAGGGTTCTAGTAGTTTATAGCATATGGCGTGTTTGTTTCTACGTACACGTACACACTGGAAGCACATACATAATAATCGAGGTCAGTGTGACACGCACCTGCCAATCAAGACAGACACGTACATTGTTGTATGTACAATTACTTCTATATGCATGAACACCCAAATACATCCACATAGTATCAGCAACGCACCTGAACAGTTCTAATGGGTGTCCTATGCACCTGAATATTTCTAATGGGTGACCTATGCACCTGAATATCTCTAATGAGTGTCCTATGCACCTGAATATTTTAAATGGGTGTCTTATGCACTTGAATATTTCTAAAGGGTGCCCTATGCACCTGAACAGTTCTAATGGGTGTCCTATGCATCTGAATCTAGTGGGTATCCTATGCACTTGAAAATTCCTAATGGGTTTCTTCTGCACCTGAAAATTTCTAGTGGGTGTCCTATGCACCTGAATATTTCTAATGGGTGACCTATGCACCTGAATATCTCTAATGGGTGTCCTATGCTCCTGAATATTTCAAATGTGTGTCTTATGCACCTGAATATTTCTAATGGGTACCCTATGCACCTGAACAGTTCTAATGGGTGTACTATGCACCTGAATATTTCTCTGCACCTGAATAGGACTGCTAGCCTCAGTCACTTGGGGCAGTTACAAGACTCTACATAAGCACACAGGTAGACAAACCATACACAGACACATCCCAGTACTCATACCTATAACGTAGCATGCATAAACGGATCACGAAGATTCTCCTACACACCGATAATTGAGGTTATAGAATGAGATTTATACCCTTCTGCACATAGACGTGACAAGAGGTGAGAGAAGTACACACGATGATAAATTAACTATCACTACGTCACAGAACTCATGACTATATGTGCCATGCAACATGCGCTGTTGATAGAGTCATGTCTAGAGACGGGAGACTCTTCAGCACATGCACATAGACGTGACACCAGGTGAGAGATATACGTCTCATATCCCAATACATACGTACATCACAGTGCATAGGTGTATGCATCGACGATTACTACACCCCAGCGCTCATATGCATATAGGTCATGCACGTACGCATACGTACCACACACACACCCATTGATTGTGGTTTTAAAGTGCGGTCGCTGCTCGTCAGCGCATGGGACGTAGCAGTTGAGAGACGCTACGGCTGATGTCCAGTTGTACGCTGTCTGTATTACAGAGGGGGAAGAATACGTGCACGTGACTAGGAGAACTAGTACAGATGTATGTGGATATGCTTGGGAGTGGAATGGGATCTTACGAAAGGGAAACCATATGGGAACGTTTACACACACACACACAGAGCCACAGATACACACAGAGACACACAGACATAGACACAGATACACACACACACACACACACACACACACTCAGAGAGAGAGAGACACACACAGACACAC